AATGTCTGCCTCTCCCACTAAACTACTTTGAAGACAAGAATCAGTTCTTAGGTTTTTTATTTTTATTTTTATTTTTATTTTTTTACATCAAATCTTGAGTGCAGTATCTGCAAACCATAAATTGGCTATCCATAAGAAGTATTCAGGAGGGTCGGTGCTGCCTCCTACAGTGATGGCAACCCATATGGTCACCAGTTCGAGTCCTGGCTGCTCTACTTCCAATCCAGCTCTCTGCTATGGCCTGGGAAGGCATTGGAGGATGACCCGGGTCCTTGGGCCCCTGCATGTGCATGGGAGATCCAGAGGAAGCTCCTTGCTCCTGGTTTTAGATTGGCAGAGTTCCAGCCATTGTGGCCATCTGAGGAGTGAACCAGCAGATGGAAGACTGCTCTCTCTCTCTCTGCCTCTCCTTCTCTCTCTGTGTAGCTCTGTCTTTCAAATAAATAATAAATGAATCTTTTAGGGAAAAAAAAGTATTCAGGAACAGTGCTTGTCACACTTTCCTATTAACTAACCACAAAATTAAGATCAATTCATATTCATACTTTCAATTGTATTAGATTCAGAACTATTAGCTCCATTGAATTAGTGGAACCTCTGTGAGTATAAGAAAAATCCAATGCAACCAATTCCCTTTGAGAGTAGAATTACGCTTATTCCAAACTAGTGAGACAAAAATTATTCTCCCAGAATTGCAATTCTCAAATCCCTTTACTCTTGCCATTTATGTTTACATTTTAAAGACAGAAAGTGCAGAATAGTGAGGTGAACTCTTATAGATGACTTTTCAAGATTCTCAGGTACACTGTCAAATTTCTTTATTAGTTTTTTTCAATAATATCTAAATTATAGCAAACAACTGAGGCAGTCTAACTTTATAAGGAACAGAGGTTTATGTAACTCACAGTTTTGGTGGCTTAGAGTCCAAATGGCCTTGTGCACGCGTTGGTCTTGGTGAAGGGCCCACGGTGAATGATGGAGTGTGCACATGGTGAGCCCGGAGCACAGCGGGTGGGTGGACCCCAACTTGGGCTGTTATGAGGTCCCTCTCACAAGACCTCAAGGGGTAAGATAAGAGCTGCCTTCTGAGGGCACACACCCAGTGACCTAACTATCTTCTATTAGGCCCCACCTCCTACGTTTCCACCGCCTTCCAATAGCTCCACCCTGGGGACCAAGCCTTAACACATGGGCCCTTGAGAGACGCAAAAGCACAGCATTTGTCCTCAGAATTCACATGGCTACTGTTCTGTGCCCTTCACCTTGTCTTCTTTGCACTTTTAAGTGTTCTCAGGCAGTAACTGAATGGCATATTACGGTAGTCCGCTGCACTTGGTTATATGTCTTCTTAGGACAGTGTATGAGAAATAGTCTGAAAAACCTCGGAGCATATGCGCACAGGTTCCTGGCTTTTGCTAAGGGTAGCTGGATGCAATCTCATCATGTTCTCTTCTTTGTGTTGTAATGCCCTTTTCTTCTCCTCCATGTCCCAACCTATAGTCACAACCTTATAGAGCCTTTGAGCAAACATGAGGAGCCTGTGTGAACAGAAGCAGCAAAGAACATCACAGAGATGGGAAGGCACAAAATGCCTTCCGGGAGAAATATTTAGTACTGCTTTCCCCATTTCTCTGTTGATTTGTGCCCAACTAATGTCAAGACCCTTCATAGACACATGGACATGAGTTAAGGATAATTCTGACCCTGACTGTACCTAAGGTCCTATTCTCCCGCTCTCTGCTAATGCCTTCCTGGATGAAGTATGCAGCCTTGCTAGTAATTACAGGATCCAAGGAAAACATATCATTGCAGATGTCAGGAAATAAACTGCCCTGCTCCCATCATCTCACCGTGTGTCTCTGGCTGGAACAGCAGCCCATCTCTGCTAGTTAAGGTCCTTTGTGCCCATGGTGGTAACTTTTGTCCACTATTTCAGGTTTTCTGTTGGATAGTCACCCTTAGCTGTTTACACAGCTATAATTGTTATTGCTAAAACCTCAATTACACTGCATTTGAGCCCTCATCTCAGAAAGAACAAAATGTCCATGATTTTGCAGATTTAACCCCCGAGTTCAAGCCAAACCCACTCCCCTATGTCCTGGTGCTGAGAGTACTACCTTCCAGGACCAGTTCCCCTGCTCAGAGCCTCTGGGGCGATGTTCTCTTCACTGCTCGGCCTTGGTAAGTTTCTCTGAATCTTCTTTCCAGATTCTGATCTTGATTACTCTTTTTCCTCCTTTCATTTCCTAGTCTTTTTTTTTTTTCATTTCACATTTTCTAGGCCATTCCACCCCCAGGGGCCAATTATTACTACATTTCTTTGTCTTCTGTCACAATTTTTGGAAAATACTGTCTGGGCATTAAAAAATCAGTGTTTATTTAAATGCACATAAGGCAGCTCTTCTCTATAATAAAAAATAAAAAGTGATGCCAAAGCAATTAGAGATTGATCACTCCCTAGACAGGAAGTCAGAGATGGGCCATCATTTTGGTTCTACCACTTCTAATTGCGTAATTTTGAGTAAGTCAATTTTATTTATAAGATGACCTCTAGTACTTGTTCAGATCAGATGTGCTGTTTTTATGCTATAATGCAAAGGTAATTGGTGAACCCAATTATATTGTCTTTAGTTAGAACAAAATGCATGCCGAAACAATCAAAGAAAAGGCTGTTTTGTATGAAGGCACACATTTTATCCCTTAGCCTCGTCACTGACACATGGGATCAAACATGCCTATCTCTGGACTATGTGTATAGGTGAGCTGCTATTACAATGATGATGTTTAACAATCGCAGAATTTCAGTGGCATTCAGCAATATCTAGCTTATATGCCTGTTGAGGTAGCTCGGCTAGGGATTGATTGATGTACTCTGGGCCTGGCATTGGTGGCTCTGCTCTACTCCATGAGTCTCTTTATCATCTTCTTGGTACTAATGGGCCAATGTGTTGTTGTCATGGCAACAGAGCACATCAAACTAAGTCCAATCACACAAGCACTTTGCAAGCTTTGGGATAGTCATTCTCATGATATTCCATTGCCCAAAACATGTCAAATGTCCATGCTCAAATTCTAGTTGTTTTCGTGATGCAGGTGGTTAAGGAAATGAATATTTTGAATAATAATGTGATTTAACAAAGTGCTTTGGAAATGAATGATAAAAAAAAATTCTTAGGGGGTTGGTTTTATGGTGCAGCTCATTAATCTGCCACTTGGAATGCCAGCATCCCATATCAGAATGCTGTTTTGAGTCCTGGCTGCTCTGCTCCTGATCCAGCTTCTTGCTAATATACCTGGGAAGGCAGTGGAAGATGGCTTAAGTACTGGGCAGTAGAAGATGGCTCAAATCCTGCGCCCTTGCCGCCTGTGTGGGAGAGCAGGATGGACTTCCTAGATCCTGGCTTCAGCCTGGCCCAGACTTGGCTATTGCTCCCATTTGGGAGATTTATCAGCGGATGAAAGACCTCTCATTCGCTCTCTCCTCTCTTTCGCATTTTCTAGTGAAAATGAAGGTGGTGATGAAGCCATACAGAAACCTTTGGTATTACATTGATATGTCTCCTATGGGGCAGGACTCCGTTCACTTCTAGAATGAGAAGTTGTTGGTTTGAGACAGGTGCTGTGAATCTGCTTGTACATAGTTTAAGGTGCGGGTGACACTATCATTTTATTCAAATGAGAGATGTCAAGTTCATAGCACTACCTAAACAGCATCTGAAATTCCTCTATTTTGCAGGCTTATGGAAAGTTCCTTTGAATCACCAACTGAACATCCTTCTGTGGATAAGCAACTGTTCACTCTATTTAAGTGGTAGATGAATTTGCAAATGTTGACCAGAACTTCCAGGACTAAAAATTATCCATTGAAGAAGAGCTAACATAAGAACATTATAAGACATCTGTCATATGACAGATTGAAAAATTATATGAACTTATGCTGTACTGCAAAACTGTTTCCCCTTTTACTGAAAAAAATCTAAACATCTCAACTCTTTCTTTTTACCCTTATACCTCTGATGTATTCATATCTCCTAATGGAACAATAAAAATAAAACAGCAATGACAGTTACACAAATTGCTGATAATTAAGTTACACTAAATAAAAATAACTACACAATGAAGCAACAGTCATATATGGAACTAATTTTTGTGTTTGAGAACTAATGAGACATTAAAGCTAAGGCAAGCATTAGTTAATTTTTTCCATGTATTGAGCTGTAGTAGTTATGTGTTCTATGTAACGAATTATAAACAGGTATAGCAATATTAAAAAACAGACATTTATTATACATCGTGTCCAGCAGCCAGAAAATCAGAAAAGGCTTAGCTGGGTGATTTTGACTTTTACAAAGTCCCAGTCAAAAGATCAAGGGAGATTGTGATTTTTCTGAAGACGTAACAGTGTTCCTTTTCCAAGACGGTTCACCCCTGTGGCTGGTAGTTGATGCCTGGTGTTAGCAGGAGGCATCAGTTCCTTCACAAGGGAATCTCTACTCCTGCTCAGTTGGGCATCCTTAAACTGCTGCTTGAGTGTTCCTGGTGTGAGGATGGGCTTCTGCCAGAGCCCGTAATCAGAGAAATCAAGGTGGAAACTACAATGTACTTTACGATCTAGCCTTGAAGTCACACTCTGCCCATTTCTACACGATCTACTGGTTATGACAAGCCTGGGACTGACATTCACTGTTGTGGGCAGCCACAGGCAGTTGCCCCTTTTGTTTACACTTAACCATATGGATGGAGACATCCCAGCACAGACAATTAGGCTAAGGAGATTCCAGGAAGAGGCAGGAAGAACTGTATCTCACTGCTAGACTTCTCACAAGAGATGATGTAGGTAATCAGCCACACCTGAAACCAGCATTTATTTCCTAGGTGTTTTATTATACCCTTGTAATCTATGATTGATAACATTTTGTGATCTGTTAATTGGAAGAACTTTATCAGAACTCTTTGTAACTGCAAATGTCCTTTAGATATGGAAATCCTCTGTGTGCCTCCTTGTGTACAACTGGTCATGTTTAAATACTACTGGACTTGTTGAATAAACGAGCCTTAATCAGGATTTGTCTTGGCTCCATTCTTTGCGTCCTTGTCCCCACATTCCCACTCTCTGTTTCAGGAAACCCGGTTCATTGTGCTGCAGGCCGGCACACACTGTCAAGATTATGTAAGTGTGTGATTTTTGAGTGTGAATGCTTTTAAAAATTTTGCATCCCAGGTGCCTTGGTTGCTTACCTTAAGATTACTCTTGGGTTACACAGGTTAGTGTTGGAGGAACCACGTGGGTATGACTATCAGAATACAAGAATCACTGGGAGTTGTCTTGGAGGTTGGCCTCAAAAAGAGGTAAATTCCTGACCAAGATTCTAATCAATGAGTAGGGGCTTCCACTGGGTCAGCAGTTCTTACTTTTGACTGAACATCAGAGTGCTTATGTCTGTGTCTTACTCTGCTGAGGTTCTGACCAACTTGAGCGGGAGTTCGACAGCCATGGTTACTTAAAAAAAAATGCAATACAAACCCTCAAACTTCTTCTCATGTGCAGTCAGGGGTAAGTGTACTGAAAAGGAACCAAGGATTCCTTTACAGACTGAAATCCATACAGAATTGGCCTATCATTATACCTGCCCACAACTTCTGTTCTTTCTTCCTGTGTGTGGGGGATAGGAAGACAAGAGGGATCAGTAGCTTATTCATTGACAAACTGTTGCTGGACACAGGGAATGTTTGACTAAGTTTATTCTCTGTCACTTGTATATTCTGCTTGATTTGCTTTGTAAAATGTTGGTAGGAGCAGGGTTAATTCATCAGTGTTAGTCTCATTTGAAGCTCTTTATCTGTTTTAAGACAGATCAAAACAGGCATGCTGGATGAACAGGAAGTCCCAAGATGAACAACAGAATCATGAGAATTGGATGGATTAGAATGGGGTTAGGCCACCAGCTTGCTTACATAATAATTTGATGCTAGTTTGATACATACTATGAACATACACACCTACATACACAGAGGTAAAGCCAAGAATGAAGTAAGTTTTAGCTGTTATAATTTTAGAAGCCAGTGAAGCTTTGTATCTTCTAAGCTACTTGACTATTGACTAGTTTTTTCTTTGGCTCCTCCTTATCTTGGTCCATGAGGCAGGAGACTGTACTGAACACAATGGAAGGAAGGGTGAAAGTGGGCTTAGAGTGTGGCTATTGTCCAATGCTTTCAGTTTTTCTCTACTGAAAATAAATGACAAAATTTCTGTTGGAAGGCTGTACTTTTTCATTATTGGTAACTCATGCTGGAAGTCTCCCATTTTTTTCTTCTTATAATTCTCTTGGGGAGTGCAGCAAAACTCCAAAATTCTTGTAATTTTGGCAAATAGTTTAGAATGCTGGAAGATGTTCAAAGAAGAGGATTAAGTGTGGGCATATGCTTGAAACTACGGTTGCTCCTTTAACTTGAGAAGTAAACAAAAACACTGCAAGCATTTTTAAATGACAGCAGTCTAATATGCACCTTTTACAAAAGCAAGAAAATCCTTACAGATGGTGTTGGATGTGGACATGACACAGCCTCTCACTCTTGTTTGAATTTCAGGCATATGCAGATGAAACAGGGTGAGTTGCTGGGAAAACAAGTTATTCAATTCTGACATGCATCCCATCTGCAGCAGAGGCTTGGCTGGAGGGCAATTATATTCATAAAGCATAACATCTACCTTCTCGATAGTATTCCAGGAGAATTTCGCTATATGACAAAGTCTCAAAGGACTAGAGTGTCTCCATCTCCTGATAAGGCAGATCACTTCCAATGGGCTCTTGAATGCAGGTGTACTTGATTGGAGGTGGAGGTGGCTTGAAAGGTGGGGGTCTTTCCATGCTAGGAACAAAACATTGCTCTTTGAATGCTAAGAATGTGAAGTGGTATTTATTTCTAAAAGCAGGACACAGATTAGTAAGAAAGCAATACACCCTCCTAGTTCTTCCAGAACTAGGATTAACACTATGTTTATGAGTGCTATTAGCCATTTAAACATCATGATCATATCATTAATTAATATTTATATGAACTTTATAGTTTGCAAAGCATTTTTTTATTATCATTATTTTTTATTTTTTTGACAGGCAGAGTGGACAGTGAGAGAGAGAGACAGAGAGAAAGGTCTTCCTTTTGCTGTTGGTTCACCCTCCAATGGCCGCCACGGCTGGTGCGCTGCGGCCAGCGCACCGCGCTGATCCGATGGCAGGAGCCAGGAGCCAGGTGCTTTTCCTGGTCTCCCATGGGGTGCAGGGCCCAAGCACCTGGGCCATCCTCCACTGCACTCCCTGGCCACAGCAGAGGGCTGGCCTGGAAGAGGGGCAACCGGGACAGAATCCGGCGCCCCTACCGGGACTAGAACCCGGTGTGCCGGCGCCGCTAGGCGGAGGATTAGCCTAGTGAGCCGCAGCGCCGGCCCTGCAAAGCATTTTTATCATAACATTATTTATTTTGTATCTGAGAATTCATATCAGTTGTATGCAACTTGTCTAAGCCAATCAGATCAGCAACTGAAGTCTCTCAACCTGAACTGATATTCTCCATAGCAACTGTCTCCTAATAGAGGAAGTTTTTCTCTTATGCAAGGAAATATTTGGTCTTCTTCCACAGACTACATTTTAAAATTCTGGAACTTAAGACTTGAGTTTTTTAAATATTTGCTTTGCCAACTCTACTACCAACCTTTACCCACACACTGTGTTCTGTGAGAATATGGCATATCCAGGAAGTAAAGCTCTTCTGAATCCCCCTGCATTGGTTGGTACTGGCTGAATGATATCTGAATTCCTTCTGTCTGAATCAATGAGCATTCTCAAAGTCATCCTTGTACAAAGCAGTGTTTTATATTAGCACAATTCATGTTTGATGGATATGCACTGAGCATACAGGTTAGAATTGAATTTAGCTGTGAAAATGCTCCAGCTATATTGATATCAAGGAATACATATTTATCTGTAAGCATCTTTATGTCAATGACTCTAACATCTCTATGCCATGACAGTTCATAGTATCTTAATTTTGAGAGAACCAGAGAAAGAGAAAGAGAGAGAGAGAGAGAGAGAGAGAGAGAGAGAGAGATTTTCATCTGTATATTATACAGACATTTGATTATAGAACATCTTACAAACACCAATTCAGATAGTCAGATTCCCACTTGCTCATTTTAATATAAAGCTCCCCTTAGCCTTATCACTTTGTTTTGATGATTTAATAGAGACTGAACATATATCAAAAGGTGGATACAAGTCTGAGAAACTTGTACTTTAGTTTCTTAGAGAAATAATGAATTTCTTGAATGGTGGCCAACATGTAGTCCTTGGATGAGAATTCGGAATTTATAACTATTAGTTTAGTGCTTTATCCACCATAAAACACTCTCTTAGTCTTCAAGGATACACTATGAAAAGTAAAAGGGCTTAGTGCACATGGGTAAGTGTTATCATAGATAATAGCAGTAAGACATGGAAGATCATCTCTCCTCTGAACATAGCCTAATCCAGACTGATCCAAATAGAGAGTAGAAAAATGAGGTTTAACTTTACAAGCCATTTCTAAATGCTGAGTGGAAAAGAGTTTTGGAAAAAACTTTAATAAGACAAACAGAGTGGGAGTAACCCAATGCTTGGTTGCTTTTCCCCTTGGGGAAACAGGAAACAGTACAGTAAAAGCCCAGTCTGATGAATAGCAGTTGGAAATCTCTTAAAATTACCTTTCTCACTCAATTTCACACTTGAACATCTAGGCTCAGCTCAGCCCAGGCAGTTCAAAGATGCATGAAAATGAAAAAATAATGAGGATTAAAAGAAAAGTCAGTTTTAGTTTTGGGGTAAGGTGAGGCTCAGTTCTCATTTCATGCCCACTGACTTGCTCCGTTTGATGAGTATTACAGCTCAGCCAGCCAGTGCAGAGAGGGATACGGAGCAGGAGCTGTGCATTTGATCCCAACTGTGTGATGCCGGGAGCGCTAGAGGACCTCTCTGAACTTCTGGGAGCCTTAGTTCTCAGCACAGTGTGAGAGGATCTCCATAGAGTAATCGTATTTTCTGCTGAGAAAATATTTCGTAGAAAAATTATCAGTTCCGAAATATCTTACTCTTGTACTCACATTTCCTTTTGGTATTGACACCATTTTCTTATTCCAAGACCAAACAATATCACACAGAAAAAGAGCAAAAATGCAACGATCACCGGCCAGGATATCCCATCTTCAGGTCTACCAAGCTCAATACCTGAAAAAGACGTAGAGAAAGATGAACCTCAGCGGGGGTTGTTCACTGACTGCAATCGCACTCTGAGGGCACATCTTTGCCTTGTCAATTATGTGTCCTAACTGAAATGCTTATGAATATAAGGCATGGATATGCATTGTGAACATCGTATATCCTTTTTATTACAAATGGGGGCATGCTATACATCTTGTTCTGTCCTTGGCTTCTTGAAAAAACATTCTTGGAATACTTTCCATAGCAATGCATACAGATTTACAGCATTTTATTAAATGACTGGATAATTCCCCAATGGATTTACCATAGTTTATTTAATTGGTTTCTTAACATTAAACAGTTAAATTGTTTCCAGGCCTTTGTTATTTCTAACAACACTCCAATGAAATTTCTATAACATTACAGATAAATAGTTAGACATTTAAATCACATGGATCATTTGGGGAAATTTTTAAAAAAGATTTATTTATTTGAAAAGCAGAGTTACAGAGGCAGAGGCAGAGAGAGGGAGGGAGAAAGAGACAGAGAGTGACAGAGGGAGATAGAGAAATCTTGCATCCATTGGTTCACTTCCCAAATGGCCACACTGGCCAGGACTGGGCCAAGCTGAAGCCAGGAGCCAGGAACTCCTTCCGGGTCTCCCATGTGGGTTCAGGGGCCTATGATTTGGGCCATCCTCTGCTGCTTTCTCAGGTGCATCAGCAGGGAGCTGGATCAGAACTAGAGCAGCCAGGAATTGAACCAGCTCATTTGGGCAAATATTATTTGGATTTTTTCATTGTTTAATTTAGATGGTAAATTATTTATAGGTGGAGACAAGATTTTTTATTTATTTTTTACCCAGTTTTCATTTTTATTATTTATTTGATCCAGAGAAAGTGAAACAAAGACAGAAGAACAAGCACTCCCATCTGCTGGTTCACTCCCCAGATGCTCACACTGGCTGGGAGACCAAAGTTGAGAGCTGGGAATGGAATCCAGGTCATCCTTAAGTGTTTGTGTTAGAGTCTGTATTAGCAGGAAGCTGCAGTCAAGAGCTGGAGCTGGTGAAGGAACTCAGACACTCTGATGTGGGATATACTAACTAGAATGATAACTGTTAGGCCAGTGCCCAGTCCTGCCCAGTTTTTATTATACTGCTTTTTGTATACCAAAAACTAAAAAAAAAAAAAAAAGAAAAAAAAAAGAAAAAAAGAATAAAGAGCTAGATTTAAAATATTAAAATATTAGTTGCCATTTTTTAAATATTTTACATCATTTGAATGGCAGTTAGCTCTGGTTAGTCAGTGCTGAAGATTTTTCCTTTACAAATAACACACATTGAGGGATCCAAGGTCTTTCTTTGCTTATCCTAACTCAGCTCTGTCCATGTAAACACTGGGGGTATCCTGGAAGCTCATGTAGCTCTATATTACTTAATCATATGACATTCTCATCTACACAGGAGGCTAGAGTTTACAGTTCAAACCTCTAGAGTAACATGACCACACACATGAACATAGACACAGCTCGCACAGATGGTCAACACCGTAGCTAACAAAGTTTTATTTTCATCAAGTCATTACACCTTTTGGGGAATGAACCAGGGGATGGAAGACCTTTCTTGCTCTCTCTGCCTCTCTTTCTCTCTCTATGTAACTCTTTCAAGTAAATAAATAAATCTTAAAAAAAAAAAAAAGACTTTAGGACCTTAGTTTTCAGCTCTGTTCCCAAGATGTGTGCAGGAGAATGGTCCGATGATCTGAAGTCTATACAACCTTCTAGAAGACACAAGCTTAGCACCCAGGTGGACGTTTCATCACCTGAAGTGAGCTCCCCCATCCATGAAGTGAAAGAGTTGATTATGCCTGTGAACTTACATTGGAATGATCCTAATTTAGTCAATCCCTTGCTTTCTTATTATAAAAAAATAAGGGACTATACTATGCATTGGCAAGTTTTATTAATTAAATTATAGGAATACTTTTTGTTCCAAAAATATCTTTCTTGCATTGTTGTGTTTTCACAGGCCTGAAACGTTTCTTGTTGTTTTTCAGCTGGCTAATCGTTATCCATTTTTCAGATTTTAAGTTAAACAGTGTATCCTCAGAAAGTCCTTTCCCAGCCTTCAATTAAAATCAGATCTTCCTGTTAAACTCTGTCAGCACCTACCATGGTAGCTGTCACAAATGTACTTGTATGGTTATTTACAAATAAATTTAACATATGATTATTTACTCACTATATATTATCTCTAGTAGATTATACTCTTCAGAAGGCTAATGTTATCACTGTATACTCAATAAACAGCACAGTGCTTGGCAAATGGTAGGTACTCAATAAAAATTTATTGAGTGAGTAAAACATTAAGATGCAAAACAATGGAAAATCATTTACCAGTGATATAGATACGATTATTTTTAGTAGATCCCCTGGCAGTTGTGGGAACTTCCGAAAATGTTCTGCTTGTGCTGGTGAAGACATCACCTGGGAATACAAGGGGAATAGCTGAGTGATCTTAGCAGCCATCTCACCTGATCAAGTGGTGTAAGGTCACGGTTGGGTTTCTTTCATGTGTTATTGGAAGAGCTCAATTTGAATGGCCTGAACATCCCTATGATATTGTATGTAAAACTTACTAAAGACCAATATATATCAAGGTTGGGATCTTGAGATCTGTGTAACTGCAACTGAATTTTCTGATTGATTTAGAGAAAAAAAGAGAGGCTGCCCACTTCCAAACAATGAAATTACATTTACTAAAGGATCTTCATGAGAAATGTAAATGATATGGGACAATGCCACAAGTTGATGTAATTGAAAGATAAGCCCGATCTCTATACCAGATTATCAGAAGTTCAGTTGATCAAAAATACCTATTCTTCCTATCTCAATGTGTTTGATAAGATGAATAAAACTGCTTTGCAATGTCAGACCAGACATCTCCATGTTGACTGATAATTCCATTTTCTAATGAAAAACTAAAAATTAAAATGCTTTTTTCACAGATGTACTGACTAAAAAGTTGCTATTTTGTAGATTTCCTTTTGAAATAAAGAAAAATCTAAGGCTTAGTCTCTGACTAATTTCCTTGAGTGACTGGAAAGAATTTTGATTTTCATTGTCATTTTTACCATGAAGATACATTTTTAAATGCCTATCTGAAATTGGCGTCTTATTGGTTGTTGCTTTCCCTCCTCACCCAAGTAGAGAAGATCACTAACTTTGATGTCCCCGAATCTTCCTCAAGTACTCACCATGAAGAGTTGAGCCTGTGTTGGAGGAGGATGAACTGTATGTTTCGCTGGATGTCCATGAAATTGCTAGAGGAAGAAGATATTGGAAGACTCAAACTATAGAACACTAGTTATTCCATTTTATCTTCATAATCCCTAGTTGACTTAGACAATTAAAAAAAAGGTGTTAATAAATGCTTACAAAATGATCATTGATTAAACCGTCCCGTAGCATACATTACAATGTCCCCCAAAGAAAGGGGTAGATGAGGGATGCTTGTGATCCAGGTGTCTCTAGTGAAAATGTTTTTTTCTTTTTCTGTCACCATTATTTTATTTTTAAAGAAACATTTTTAAAGTCAAAAAAGAAGTAAAGATATAATGTAGCTACAAAGGGCAGTCCCTCCCAAGAAAGCATTACACTAACATATCCCACGGTTCTTCAGTTCATATTTTTCCCCAAAGAAATCTTTTATTTAAGTAATACAAACTTCTTGCATTTCTTAAAAACAACTTTAGGAACACAGTGATTCTTCTCACCGTACCTACTCTTCCACCCACAATCCCATTACTCTTCCTCCTCCTCTCCTATTCCCAGTCTTATTTTTTACTATGATCTATTTTCAGTTAACTTTATACCCAGAAGATTAACTTTATACTAAGTAAAGAGTTCAACAAATTGTATGAATAAAAAAATATTCCTCAACAGTTGAGTCAAGGGCTATTCAATGTCATTGCGTCTCAAAGTTGATTTCACTTCTTTTTTTAAGTGTTTTTTTTTTTTTAGAAACTTAATTTTATTTTTTAAAATCTTTTTAGAAGATTGATTTATTTATTTGAAAAGCAGAGTTTCAGAGAGAGGAAGGTGAGGAGAGAGAGAGAAAGTCTTCCATCTGTAGGTTTACTCCCTAAATGGTCTCAACCGGCAGAGCTGGGCCAATACAAAGCCAGGAACTAACAGTTTCTTCTGGGTCTCCCACATGGGTGCAGGGGCCCAAGGACTTGGGCCATCTTCCATTGCTTTCCCAGGCCATAGCAGAGAACTGCATTAGAAGTGGAGCAGCTAGGACTCGAACTGGACTTTTATGGGATGCTGACACTGCAGGTAGTGGCTTTATCCGCTATGCCACAGCACCAGCCTCCTTAATTAACTTTAAAGAAGAACCCAAGAGGTGCTGGCACCGTGGCACAGTAGGTTAACCTGTGGTGCCGGCATCCTGCATGGGCGTGAGTTCAGGTCACAGCTGCCCCTTTTCCAATCCAGCTCTCTGCTATGGCCTGGGAAAGCGGTGTAAGATGGAACAAGTGCTTGGGCCCCTGCATCCGCATGGGAGACCAGGAAGATGCACAGCTCTGGCTGTTGTGGCCATCTGGGAAGTGAATCAACGAAAGGAAGACCTTTCTCTCTGTCTCTCCCTCTCACTGTCTGTAACTCTACTTTTCAAATAAATAAATAAATAAATATTTTTTTTAAAATAAAGAAGAACCCAAGAATGATACATCTTTTGCCAGCACTTAGATGTAACTATAACTTATGAGACATAAGAATATCCTCCACTTAATACACTAATACAAAGTAAATCTTTGAGAACAAGTTTTACTATTAACTCTCATAATGCAACTCTTTGAGGACAGAGATCCTGCCTGGGAAGTTAGTGCACTGTGACTCCTGTTGTTAATTTAACAATTAACACTCTTATGTATGATGTCACTGATCACATGAGGCTTTTGACATGAGCTACCAAGGCTATGGGAGCCTTTTGAATCCACAAACTCCTTCAGTATTTAGACAAGGCCATAAGCAAAGTGAAAGTTCTCTCCTCCTTCCAGAGGAAAATACGTAAGGACGATTTGAATGTAGCCAGTGCTATTATTTAAATTCTGATAGAATTAGGAATTGAGGCTTGTAAGAGGTTATTGAGGGGCCGGCGCAATGGCGCAGTAGGTTAATCCTCCGCCTGCAGCACCAGCATCCCATATGGGCGCCGGTTCTAGTCCCGGCTGCTCCTCTTCCAGCCCAGCTCTCTGCTGTGGCCTGGGAAGGCAGTGGAGGATGGCCCAAGTCCTTGGGCCCCTGCACCAATGTGGGAAACCAGGAAGAAGCACCTGGCTCCTGGCTTTGGATCAGCCAGCTCTGGCCATTGTGGCCATTTGGGGAGTGAACCAGCAGATGGAAGACCTTTCTCTCTGTCTCTCCCTCTCACTGTCTATAACTCTAACTCTCAAATAAAATAGGTTATTGGTCCATGAGAACTCCTCTCATGAATGATATAACAATTCTTGTAGAAGAGAATGCAAGCAGCGTTTGGCCTGGGCTTTCTGCCTTCTGCAATGTGAGGAGCCAGCAAGATGGCCCCACAGATTTCCAGTGCCTTGATCCTGGACTTCTCAGCTTAAGAACTGTTAGCTAATAAACCTTTTAAAGGCAAATGATCCAGTCTGTGTAATTCTGTTTGTTAAAGCAGTACAAATACACCAAGCCAGAATTGGTACCAGGGGTAGCCTGTTGCTATAACAAATACCTAAAAACCTTGACTGGGAAATGGGAACATGATGGAGCAGCTTTGAAGTGAATGCTAGACAAGTTCTGTACTGCGGAGAGCATTGTGGGTGATTCTGGAGAGGACTCAGGAGAGCAGAGCTGTAGACAGCCAGCCTTCTTAGTGATGATCTAGATGGACATGACCGAGATGATGGTAGAAATAGGGACAAAAAATGCTATTTTGATGGGTTCTAGGACAGAAATGAGAAAAATCTTACTGGAAAATAGGGGAAGAGGCATCCTCATTATAAAGTGGAAAATAATTTGACTACATTCTGTCCACATCCTAGGAGTTTGTGGAGGGTAGAAGTTCTGAGTGATGGATAGACTATTTGGTGGAAGAAATCTCTAAGCAGAAAAGTGTTGCCTGGCTGCATTTAACTTCTCTAGAGCTTTGTTGCTTCTCTTAACTTACAGTGACATCCAGGAAGGGAAAACAGTTAACAATGGAATCAAAATGGAAGCTGAATGTAAAGATTTAGGAAATTCTTAATCTGGTCACGTAAAGAATGAAACAATATGTTTAGAAGAGAAAAGCAAGGCTGTGGCCAAGTGAATATTTCATACAGAGATCATCGTGAATAATAGAAGGAAGACAAAGGCTCTTCATCATGACAATGAAGGAATGACACGGAAGGCATTCCAGAGATCCCCCAGGGTCCTGTGCACATCACGGGGCCTCAAGGACAGAGCAGGTTCAAAGAAGGATCTCAGAGCACTTATGGGACCTCAGAACTTGCTGCCCAGGGATATTTCAAATCTCTGCTCCCTGCTTTCTGGCACGTTGCTCCTTGGCAGCCCCAGCTGTGGCTCAGGTTGGCTCAAGTGAGGATTGGTACCCGTTTCCAGAAGGTACAACCTGTAAGTCTTGACAATATCTGCGTGCCACTTATTCTAGGGGCTCACAGAGTGCAAGAATCTTGGAGGCATGTCCTTTCCCCCCTGCATTTCAGATGACATCTCTGATAGCCTCCAAGTCCAGGCAGACACTTGCCACAGGGGCAAAGCCACTGCAGAGAGCCCCTAATAGGCCAGTGCCTAGTAAAGTTGTGGGGGCAGTCACTCCTGACTCCTCAGACCTATAGGGCTACCAGCATGCAACACCAGCCTGGGAGAGCTGCAGGCACCTGACTGCAACCAGAGAGCTGCTGCGTGGGCTGTGTCTGGAGCCCTGGGACCCCGACCCCGACTTCAGTGTGTCTGGGAAGCAGACAAGCACATCATTCTCAAGTCTGAAGATCTAATGTTGTTTAGGTTTAATTTTTTTTAAGTTTTATTTATTTATTAATCTGTGATGGGAGAGAGAGAAGAAGAAAGAGAGAGGAAGAGACACAGCGAGGGAGACCTTGTTATTCTCCAAATGGCCACAGTGGGGAGTCATACGTGGGTGACAAGGACTCAAGTACTCCAACCATCTTCTGCTTTCCCAGGCACTTTAGCAGGAAACTGGATTAGAAGCAGAGCAGCTGGGACTCGAATCAGCACTTTGATATAGGATGTTGGTGTTGTAGGCCACAGCTTTACCCACTCTGACACAACACTAGCTCATGTAGCTTGGGTTTTAGATTTACTTGGGATCTTCACTCCTTTTGTAACCAAGTCCTATTGTCTTCACTGTGGTGATTGCAAGCCAACTCCTTTCTAAGCATCAATTCACTGAATTAAGAGTGGCACCAGGGTCAGGTGGGCCCTGCAGGGTACTGGACTTCAGGCCTCAGAGCTCAACTATCACTCCCCCAGCTTACATTCTGAGGCTAGACTTAATTGAGGTGTTTTTCAGAAACTTCAAGCCATGTTCAAACAAAGTAATAACTATCTTCCCATAGACCCCAGACTGGCTGGAACCCACCTTACCATCACATCTTCAGAAAAGCACACTGGCATTCTGTTTCTGACCAATCAAAGGAAGACTATGAGTGCTGTGCACCAACCAGAGACCCACAAATGAGCTGATCACACCTTGTTCATCCCTAGCTTTGAACTAGAATATTCACTGGGGAGTCCAGGAATTGACCAGTGCATTGCAAATACACTCCTGCTCTCTTCTAATGGCCGCAGTGTCAGTTATTGGCTTGATGTATGTTGGGTAAGTGGACCCAGTTTGGGGGGTTCTATAACTGTTTCTCTAACTTGTTGTGGGGGTGTTTTGTAACACTTTCTTATTTATCTCTCCATTTCAGAATAGAAATATCTGTCTCACACATGTCCCACCATTGTATCTTGGAAGCATATAACTCATTTTATTTCATAGGCTTGGAGTTGGAAGGGAATTTGCTTCAGGATGAATCGTATCTTTGAGTCTCATCCATCTCTGACTTAGATGATATCTAGATGGGACTCTGGACTGTAGACTTTAAATTTAATGCTGAAACACATTACATCTTTTGAGGTATCAGAATGGAATGGATTTTTTTTTTTTTTGAGTGAGAAGGACATGACTTTTGAGGGGCCAGGGATTGATTGCTGTAGCTTGAATGTGCCACTCCCAAAATTCAGGTGTTGCCAATTTGATGGTGTTAATAAGTGGGACCTTGAAGAGGTTACA